CTATTATAATTGTTTAACAAAATGAGTACCAAGTAAGTAATTATACATTTTTTGATATAACTAACGCCATAATAATTTAATTCGAACTAGTATTTCCTAAAACTAGCGCATTTAAACATACAAACAACCTAACTCTTCAACGATACAATATTAGTATAGATTTAGTTGCAACTAGTTCGTAATTGGCGCCAAGCAACGGAGTTACCGCTTCATTATATCGTCAATGTAATTAGCGATAAATATTTAAATAGCCGCACAGTTAATAGTCCTGATTCGAAATTTACAGTTTGAATTTTAACTGTTTATAGACTTCTATTCTTATAAGTTTTTTTATGGTTATATAATCTATAGCTATAATAACAATAAATAATAGAACATTTTGTTCTATTATTTATTGCTATTGAATTTGACAGTAATAAAAAAATTATAAAATTTGTAGAAAATATCTATAGTTTATATTAGATAGCTTTATTGTTTTATGAAACTTCTCTAAAGTTTTTTAGTTTAGTAGTAGCATAAAAATAACGATAATTCAGTTTTAGTTCTCCATTTTTGAAACCAAATCTTTAAACCAATTTATCTGTGTTTTAGGAGAAAACAACATTACTCTTACAAAACACCCCATCACAGGGCCATTTGTCGTCTGTCTTTGATTTTATTAACGTCCTCGGGGCCTCAGACAGTATTTGATTGACGTACGAAATATAAACAGGCATTTTCGCTAAAAAAATACGACTCTTCTAAATTTATTTCAGATTTGCCAGAGTATGTACGATTGGAATTTCTGAAGTACCTAACAAACGTGGACGGCCTCTGTAGTTAAATGGTTAAATGTGATGATACTGTCTATAGTTTAGCGCCCATGACCACGGCTGCTGCAAAAGCATCCGAAACGTCGGGCCGAAGTTAAAAATCATTTTCAAATAAGTTTAACTAATATATCGCGTTTTAAACCTTTAAAGTGTTTTTTTAAATGGTTAAATTGTTTGTACAGAAGTCTGATCAACTACTTTCCTGTAAAGAAAGCCGATCAGTGAAACGGACTCAGAAATGTATTCGCCCCCACAAGGGCAACATATTAGTTATTTTATTATTTGGTGTTTCGGATGCTCTGCAGCAGCAACTAATATATTTGTTTTTTTAATGATAACCCGTTTTAATATTGGCTTTAGTTTACACGACTAGCACATGTTTAAATAAAACAGTCGCTGTAGTTAAAACAAGATAACTATACGTACCTATACTTCGCGTTATAAGCCGTTAGATGAGTTTTATTTAAACCCCTTTTTATTCATTTAAGCGTTAATTGTACAAAAGATGGTACATTCAGCTTTATGTAAATGCGCAAGCAAACTTATACTTTTTTAATTCCTTTTTTTAATAATGAAGGAGAAGAGAAATTCAAAAATATACCTAATTCGTAAATCTCAGATTCACTAAAAGCAAAGAGCATTTAAAATCGACGTTAGAGTTATACCAGGATCCGGTATTAAGAGATTTTGACCTGTATTACTTATATATAAAGCTGGATTTAGTGAAACTCAAACGGGCACAGCTGCGGCTTATCCGCAACAGGAAATCCTTGTCATTTTCCAAGCCAGAAGTACTACTCTTTAAAATTAGGAGCATCTCAATTTTATTGAGCCATAATTCAATGAGATGTCTATTCTATTCTCAGACCGATTTGACGGGCTCTTTGGTGTAATGGTAGCAATGATAATAAACGGGCCATGGGTTCAATCTCCACCAAGGTAAAGAGCGGGATATAATACTGTTTATGTCAAAATTGCATATAGAACCTACATATATATCAAAACGAATTATTATTAAATACTATATTAAATAAAATATATTAATTATCTAATGATATCTAATGAAAGATTCTTAAAAAAAAATTAAACGTACTTTCTTTTTGTAGTTACTTAATAGGCCATTCATCTATTCCAGTATTTATATCCCAGCAGAAAACAAAGACTGAATTCACATTTTAAAATAAGATTTCGAAATGATTGTCATTCGTCTTCATTAAAACTCCTTTGTTTTCTCTTGTGTATCTGTGGCGTTCTCGTAGAAATAGATGGGTATTAAAAATTGGGGTCATCGAATGAATGTGGGAAGAACTGAGTTGTCACATTGCATAAGATCCTAAAAGATCGGTCGGAAGCGTGTCACTGTCAGATGTCAACTGTCATCGAGGTAATGAAAACTGTTTTTCACGAAGTTAAGAATAGGAACCACAGATATAAAAAGAAACAGCGGAATATCTGTTCTGTGCCAAGTGATAACGTTTGTACATTTTCGATTATTTTATGTTGTACGTCGGTTTTACCCACCCAAGACGTTATATGTGAGCTATAAATTACAAATCGAATTCACATATTGTCTTTTTAGTATTTTAAAGCTTTGGTTATAATTTTACTGCTTTAGTTGACGTAGACGTATGGTAAAAATAATACATTTAAAACCGTTTAAATTTGATAAAATGCTCCCCATAACTAAGGCCACTGAAAATCTGTCGGGTCATAATTAAGAAAACGAAATAATATACATCGCTTTTTAAATCTTTATTGTGTTATACTTAAGTTCCTATAAAGAAGCATTAAAATTTTAATACTAAACTTTAACTTAAAGAATAAAACCAATTCACTCGCCCCATTTAATCGGCTATACTTCGTTATTATTAATTGTTCATGTTTTATACATAATGCGTTAATATTTCTAATTAAGACATTAATAAGCTAAAAGCTGGAGCGAGCGAAGTTAGAACAATAGAGTTTGTTCATATAACTTCATTATAAAACTTTACGATTCTCACATTTAAGTAATCAGCGTTGGATCATAATGTGTGTTACGAGAAATTAAATGATTTATTATTCAATTAGGGCGCCGCCATGTTTGTTAGGTTACATTAATATCTACGCACTATATTATGTTAGATAATCTTACATACAGCCTATATGGTATTGTAAGCGCTAAACTGGGTTACTATCCCGCTTAACAAGAGATAACGATTGGGATATTTTGCAAAAGTGAAGGAAATACCTTTTCAGACCTTTAGTGGAGTGCGTTACCAATTTATAGAATTTCTGTATGACAAAAATGTTTCCTATATAAGTTTTGACGACAAAAAATACTCGTACATGTGTTTTTATTGGCTGTCACTGTAAACGACTAAACCGTATTTAAAGCATTATTATATTTAAATAAAACACTTATAACAGTCTAAACCGCGAAATAATTTGTAAATAAGTTTAACCAACACATTTAGCGTTTTAAACCGTTAAAAGTGTATTACTTGCATAAACTACAGATAGTATTTACATTGTTATATTTGTCAGATTTATTTACATGTTATAGCTTTCAAAATCTTTGTATAAATTATTAATCGAATAATAATATTAAACAAATGTTACTCTTGTGTTGTGTAACGTAAGGAACAGCTCAGCTTCGTGAATAGAAATAATGTCAACTATTGATATAGATTTCCCGCTTAACTAGGTTAACTGTATGTTTTGAAGACCCAACACGCCGTTATATGCATAAATCAAACCGGATAACTCAATTATAATAATATTATCTATATAATGTATAAAAATCAGAGTGCTTTTATCTCAAACTTGATAAATTAACAAATTCGTATTTTTACCATTAACACATTTTAATATTGAAACGGATTAAAAATATTTTATTCATTGTGATGCTGTCGTCGTATCAATGTCAAGTTTGACAAAGCAACATAGCAGATGGAACTGCAAAAAACTTTTTTGTCAATTGTCATCGATTATAATATTTTTTTATAATAATTAATTATATGCACACATATAAACATTTTAATTACTTTGTTTGTACATATAATATAATAAAATATAACATTTTTTCCTAGATTATTAACAGAGAAAGCAAAGCAGCGGTTAAAAGCTAGCTTTCGTATTATATATAACACACAGCATCTTGCACAACATCATAAACTCGTTGGTATGAAATATAGTAGCAATCTCGTAAACTTTTATTTATAGAACAAGTTTCAGTTTATCATGTTAAATCGAAAGGCTGCAAGTGCAGTTAAGCAGCGGCGCAATTAACTGATATTGAGATCGTATTTAACTCCTCGTTCACAACGATTATAGCTTACTGTTTATAATAGCTCTGCCTTGATATCGCAAAGGTATCATTGATCGTTTTTACATAGCACATATTATATATTAAAGCAATAATAAATAAATAAATAAAATTATATAAAACAGCATGGAAAGCTAACATCGCGGGTTTGTGTCCAGCCCGTGTCATTTTTTTAAATAAAATATATATTTACAGAATATGCAGTGATGAGGAACTGTAGGTATTACTGTAAAATGTAAATAAACTTATTTTTTTGTATTTTTAGTATCAATGATTGCAAGGGAATCAAACAACTTTTTCGTTTGTTTGATAAAGATCGATCATATGAAATCTACAAATCTTTGAATTGTAAAAACGCACAAAATATCTAGGGCAGTTAAACACTTTAAAAGATACAAAATAATTAATGGCACTACAGAATCACAAGCTCCAACGCTGGCCTGGGAAAAAATATGAAAAATCCGAGCAAAACGTATTTCTAGAAAACTAGACAAACGAAATGTAAATACGGCGGGGCTAGTTTTATTTGACTTCAAACGGTTTGTTAGTGTCGAATGAAATATTTATATCGCGGAGAATACCGATTTTTCTTACACATGTATGTTTAATATCAATACAGCCATTTCGTCTCGGTGAAAAGTCAAAAATGTTTCTTAAAATGTTTAGTTTCGTTTTTTATCTGAATTCATATGACTATCTAAAAGAACAAATGACATTGCGTTTTCTTTTCCATCGCTTTTGTAAGTTATGAAGAGTTATAATCAAGTTTAATAAAAAAGTGTAAAACTTTAATTACGACCATAAGGTATTTTATTTCAAGAATATTTTGCTTCGAAATCTTTGATAATCATTCTAATTTAAGCGAAAAACGAGACCGAAGTTCACTTTTCAATAAAGCGCAAACCAAATAAATAACTAACCTTCTTAAGTCCAGCTAGTCTCAAAGCTCGCTGCAATTTCGCAGCCCTGGACGTAGATAAGTAAACAATCGGTACAGCTTCACCAGTCTCCAAAGAAATATCGAAGTCATTAACTGCCCCGCACAACTTATAATCTTCAAACTCTGCCTCCCTCATTATTTCTTCCTTCACTTCACCAGTCATAGGATTGACGTAATAATTAAATTTGGTGTCGTCGAAGCTGTTCCTGTGACTTTTCGTGGATATGTCACTTTCGTCAGACGGATAGGTGATTAAGTATTTGTCATTTACTATAGTTCCATCTGGGCAGTCTTCGATCGTGATGGATGGCGTTTTGGAGTCGGGGGTTAATAATGAATACGCACTCCACTTCACTCCATTGAATAAATGTCCGCACTCCATTGTTTGTCTGATAAAAAAGTGGGCGTCGCAGCTATATCTGTTTTCATAATAACATGTACTTTGATGAGCGTGTTTGGAAGATCAATTACCGACTAAGTACATTTTTAAAAACGAAAGTGGGTAGTTGGTAATTTTAAAGTACTTATCGGATCTTTAAATGTTAAATATATTAAAATATAGGTCGAAGAGAAAAGGAAATTGATTGAGCTTATATTTTAGGAACCGGAATTTTTCTAAAATATAATCCAACGAGTGTGTTTGAGTAATTAGCATGAGGGCCCAGTCTGAACCCTCGTCATAACTCTACACCTACCCGCCTGGACTTGCCGTTACGTCAAAACATTTTACGACTCGTATTGATATGTAACGCGATATTTTTATACATTTCACATCTGTTTTGAAATATATCACCTGTGACTTTTTGATATCTAGTTACTTGACATAGCTACTGTCGTTTGTATATTTATTTTCAATGTAATGTAGAATTTATACGAGTCGAAGAGTTTCCATTTCCATGTTTGGTCCATGTTGTTTAGTTTTGGGGATTTAGTTATTTATTACACATATATGCCTCCTACAAAATTTTTCAATTTCATTATTTTACGCACTTATAATTTATATAGTATATTTATATCTATATAAATATACTTATATTAATTGATATTTTTTACAAAATTATCTTTAATCTTCATTTAATTTGTGCATAATCACCTGAATACCTACATAATATGACAAAAGCATACCCCTCGATTCTATTAAAACGCAATTAACGCAGAGATAATTTGACAATCGATTTACCACCTAACAATCTGTTTGAATTGTATGGGATTAAATCATTTAAAATTTCAATTCTAATAAGGATTTAAATACAATAGTAAGAACTACACGGCTAAACTGCTGGATAGTTTTTTATTAAATTACACGACAGTACTTAGTATCTATTTACGCGAGCCAGTAGATAAAAAAAAACGAATCGTTTCTATCTGAAAATAGAATCGAATCGTTAAAATAATATTACACGTATAAACTGTCATTTTTAAATAAAACACTTTAATGGATTCAACAGGGAGGTGACCCCGGCTGCTGCAAAGAATTCGAAACGTCGTGCCGTAGTTAAAATAAATTTAACAAATTGTTACAAGTTTAATATAAATCGCGCTTTAAACCGTTAAAGTGTTTTATTTAAGTGTATACTGTTCAAGTAAACGACAGAATGTTGTTAAAATAAGGCGTAGAGTATTTAAATAATGCAAGATGTTAAGTCTATCTTGCAACAACAAATGTAGGCGCAAGTGGCGCCGCGTCTAAAATAAATTCGCAGACACAACAAAACGATGCCAAGTTTCGTCTTTGGTGTAAATACGTGTACGAGTATTGACCTTGCATTGCTGGCCACTTAAAGTTACATACGCATAATTAAAAAAAAATACCGTATTGAACAACATCGTTGGATAAACAGCTACGTCATCAAACATTGCTGTAAGCCTAGCACAAATATTGTTAGAACAATAGCATTAAAATCAATGCCTATTGTTCTAATAATAACCGAAAATAATAGACTTAAACTAAGTAGGAAAAAAATTACTTCGCAATAAGTACGTATTTTGATTTAAATTAATAAATGCATTAATTTAAGAATATAATTTTGAAGTTGTAAGGCTGTTCAAAATTATTTTTCATTAGATACTTTCGTACTCAGACGGATAGGTGGTTCATAAACGACGAGATTATGCGCGAACATAAAAATCATATGTCCTAGTCAAATTGAAAACCGAACTTTAATCAAACTAGACAGAAAACTATCAGGATACTTTTATCCACGGGTGTACTAACATAATCCCCTTCAGGCGTTTAAATTTTCAAACATTTTTAAATACATGCGCTTACGTCATCAATACTTAAAAATTACTATCAATCCAGAATGTCACACTAGTGGTAGTGTACACGTGTACACTTTACTATACATGAATGGAATCCGCAAATAGATAGCAAGGCAGACACAATAAGTCCACTGGTAAATGTCGTGTAACAAAACCGCGAAGCGATGTCGTTGGCCGGATCGTAATTGCATTCCTGGCAGAAGGATATCAACTAATCATGCTCTTTCCTCATTCTTTCGCTAAACTAAGTGCAGTGGGAATAGGGGAGTTCTGACAACCGATCTACACTAATATATAAAGCTGAAGAGTTTGTTTGTTTGAACGCGCATAGTTGGTTAGAGCATTTATCAAGGATATAACCATCGCGCTGTAACCAACCGGAGCTAAAAAACAGCGGGAAATGAGAAAAAAAACTGGGAAAATTATTCATCTTTAAATGATCGAAACAAATGACCGCGCCAATATATTATGTCTCCCTTTTAAGATAAACTTGCAAGAACAACGGGACCCGACCGACCGGGTAATACCTTTAAATTTACAAGGAAAAAAAGGAGGTTGGCGAAAACTTATTTATATGCCTACTATTACTATTGTACGCGGGCGATGTCGCTGACGCAGCTAGTGTGTCTATATATGGGGATAGGTATAAGAAATTCGGCTTCCGAATGAGCGCCATGTTTTTTTGCAATGTCATCCATGTATTTTTTTAATTAAATTATGGATCATATAAAAAGACAGCTATGTTTAATAAAAAAAATAAAATAAAGTATTAATGTATGAAAATATATATTATTTTATTTTCAATTTAATAAGTGCCGCACCCTAAAAGATGTTATTTCAGTTATAGGCAAGAAGTTTGCATCAAGATCTCTAGAATTTTATTGAATTTGCGTTTAGTAATATTAAGTAACACATTTCTTGTGAGAATAAAAAAAAAATATTTTGATATATGTATTCATTCTCATTCATTTAAATTTTCATCACGAGCGTTTTGTACGTTAGGCTACTAGTAAATTTAACACTTGATCAGATTCCTATGCTCTGTCCGGCCGAAACCATACATTACCTATAAGTCGTATCGATAACTGCTTGCGATAATGCAATGAACTCAACCATTGAACCATTAAGTAGAAATAACGATTACTTCCCATGTTTCTCCCGTCACTTTAACACAGTAATCCTTTATCTCCTCGTATGGAGGATAATGACGTTGCGCACAAAAGACGTCACTCGTGACACGAAGAATGTTATGTTATTCACGTCGTGTTTGTAAACACTTAGAACCTGACCTATTGTGTTGCTCACGAGCGTTATACACGCTTATTGTTTTAGATCTAGCTAACAGTCTTATCACCATTCAAATTTAAAAAGAAAAGTTTGTTATTCCTTAACAACCTAAACAAGTGAGAAACGAAAGAGCCTAAGTAAATATGAAGGTATGGGTTATATTGAAATTCTTTACAGGAGTCACAGACCACAAATGAAAATGTCACGAAGGTTATTCGTTCAGTTGCAGTCTGTGGATTACCGAATATCCAAAACCAAAATGGATTAACAGCGTGTCTTGTTTAAATGTTATATATAGATGGGGCTGGGATTTATAAACGTTGGTTCTCCTTCATTATAGAAAAAGTATGGTAGATATATAAATTAAATTTGGTAAGATCTAACATTTGATCATAGTACCTCTTAATATTTACACGAGTCTAATATGTATACTCAGACGAAACCATATTTATAAAAACGCTTTTATAATCGTAATTCTCACGTATTAGAAAAGAATTTACAAACATCAAAGATACGATAATTATACCGAATTAGTTCATAAACTAAAGTTATATCAGTACATTTATAAAAGTTTATTGCCAAATCTCCTTTGATGATTCAATATTGTTATCTCCGTCCACTTTCGACTTTTAATCACCGTCAACGTGTAACAAATATAGCCTTTTGACGCACCACTATTTTATATTTTAGACTGAAATGAGAATAAAACTTCACCCGCGTGCGCTCACGCAGCGCGAGTCGGTTTCAGACTGAACGCGACTAAATCAAGTGGGATATATAGTGTATTTTCATTTTCAGTGTGTCAACATCCGTACTGATTCATTGACGAGCTTATACAACTTTAATAATTTTCACATATTATCGCACATGGTGGCACTATACAAATGAAAAATCGATAATAAATAAATCAAAAAATTACGAGTCTTGTTTGTAGTTGTAGAGTGTTGCTCTAACTGTTGCACGGAACTGTACATGTCGGTTCAAGTCCTGTATGTATCGTATTTTTTTTTTCAAATTATAATCGATTTTTAAATTATAGAGCTTATACAAGTTTTATATGAAATAATACTTTTAAATAAAACACTGTAACTGTTTAAAACGCGATATATTTTAGTTAAACTTTTTGAGGATTGTTTTTAACTACGGCCCGACGCTTCGGATGCTTTGCAGCAGTAGTGGTCACGGGGAGACTCCCCGCGTTTTAAACCGTTAAAGTGTTTTATTTCAATGTGTACTACTCGCGTAAACTATTGACAGAAATAATATCTTTTTATTGCCAATTTTTTTTTATGTTTATGCCACCGACACTAACGGGAAGTGAGGGTATAGTAAAGACTAAGAATATTGCATTACTATTTAAAAGAAATAAATATATACACAACTTAAACAAGATATGTATATATATATAAAAAGTTATCCGTATTGATAGTTATCGCAAATTTGTTAACACTAATATTGTATACTGTCTATAGTATTCCTACCTCCCATTTCATATCAAGTTTTCCAGAAGGAGTCCAACATGTTTCAGAAGAATTTCAAATGTATTCCAAACATGTTAGACCCGGTGGGGGAGAGCAAACTTTTATCATTAGCCCATCGCATAGATAATAAACCCATCAGAAACAAGTAATTATAATATCCCTACTCTGTATTGAAATAATTCTGTAAATTATTATAGAAAAAAAAATGTACATAATTGTTGTAACTGTTGCTAGACCGAGCATTAAACTACCGACGAATATAAGTCGTGTGCACATAATTCACGAGAGCTAGGTCTCAGAGTGAGGTTTAATAAAACAAAATTCACATTTGGACACTTATCAACAGCGGAAC